TTCTGCTCACCTCTCGTTTGATGGGCTCTCCTTCACAATGGATCACAGTGTCTGGAGCCACTATGCAGTAAGGACTTGGATCTGTCTCCACAACTTTGAACTCCACTGCTCGCATTCCTCCACGCACCAAGAAGATGTCACCTGTAAAACTCCACATTTCAGTAGCCTTCTGCAACAGATGTCTGCAAAATGTCAGTCCTTGTACTACTAGCAGCCCCAGAGGACAAGGAAGTGGGTTATGTAGACATACACTGCTGGCATTTTTAACATTGCTCTGCATTTTAAATTCAAGAGCTGCATGTACTGACTACCAGAGCACCATTTAGATCTGTAGCAGTTGAAAGTCTCAAATCTCATCCAGAAACTAACAGCAAACAAAAGAAAAGAATACTCTGCCTAAATACAAAACACAAAGGCAAGGAATCGCATTTCACTTCCATTCAGTTTCAATTTAACATTTCTAAAACAGGCAAAACCCTCCAAATTAATACACATTTATTCTGAAGTTGTTATAATTAGCTGTTACTAGTTATAACTGGTTGTCTCCAGAAGCAGAATAATATATAATATTGCACTATGACTCCTGGCTAAACTTGGCTACAAAAGGTGGATAATTTCAAGTTGTGTTTATACTGTATTAGGACCTATTTGTTCCACAGAAATGCTACTAGTACAACTTAAAGTATATTTCGGTTTTTATGTACTCTCTCAGTTACTAATTAAATTACTTTGTAAAAGTTAATTTAGTCAGGGTGCCAGCTAGTATATCCAACCGATTAATATGCAGGCAACTCCCTGATTGGATCAAGTGGTAGTAACTCAGGAGAAAAATCTCATTAAACTGAGTTCTACCTGAGCCTTTTCTGATGCTCTCCCATTCTATGTAGCAAAAAACCACAGGAGAACTATCAAGCCACTCTGCCAGCCAGCAACAGATACTACCCTTTCTTCTGAAGATCAGGAAATAATTAAATCAGCACCAGCAAAATCTCACTCTACAGATGTCAGTCTAATGCTTCATGGAGATCTGTGCAAGCTTCTAGAAATTCTCTTTATTCAGTCCCAGGACTAGCTCACACTCGCTGCTGTCAGGATTTCAGTAACAGGTGCTATTACCTTTCCTGATGGGTCTATATGCTTCCAGGAAGTATGGCTTGAGATAGACCTCAAACAGATTCCCTGTGATCCCTTCTACCGTGTCATCAATTGGCAGTACATGGATTCGTTTACCATATTTCACATCTGGGCAAGGCTGAATGCTGCAACAGAAGAAAACTCCAGTTAGCCATGATTCATCATGGACTTACACTCAAGTCTGGAAAAGGCAGCGATGTCCCTTTCCAGACCAGTACAAATGCCAGAAAAGATCCTCCAAAGCCCTGGTAAGACTTCGTACCTGCATAGAAATGCTGACAAGGCAAAAATCATGCCAATCAGAGCACTAGTCTTCACAAAACATGGTTTCCTTCATTCCTCTCACCCCTTTCCAAAACTGCAGGAGTTTCATACTTTTTTCCTATCCCCTGCTCTTCTGCAGCTCTCCTTGCCATCTCCAATACACATTCACAAGTTACTAATGCAGCCTGAAGACCCGTGAAAGTCATGAGCTAACTTCTGTTTCAACAGGAAGCTACTGCTGACCCAACTGTAAGGGAAAGGGAGCTGGGGGAAACTTTTTTCTTCCTCTCTCTCTCTCTCATAACTTACTACAGAGAATAGAGCTCCTGTTGCCGATAACCCTGATTCTGAGCAAAGGCTCTCACAGTACCAACTAGGGGTAGCCAGGTGTCTGTCAATCCCCCTTTGTGGAGACTGACTAGGTTGAAGTCCGAAGGCCCCTTCCCCCTTTTTAAATAAACACTTCAGTTATTTTACAGTGCAGGCCAACAGCCTACTGTAGCAAAATCTCAGAGCATCAAGCTGTGTCAGAAACACAAAAAGCTCAAACTGGCTCTGCCAGCAAAGAAAAGCCTATGTGAAACCACAGCTGAGCATGTGATTTTTCATACACTGTTCAAGACCCTTAACAGATTCTTTTACCGCATGCTTTACAGAGAGAATATGGCAGAAAGGTAAAGGAAAGGAAAGACTGCCCCAGAAGGTAAACAGTAGACAAACTACAAGCAGGAAGCAATTAGCACATGAATCTGGATTTTGTCAGAAACCAGGCCACAAAAAGTAACACAATAAGTACTTAAAGATCAGCAAGAAAAACTTTGAGGGCAATAGGTGTTGAAAATTCTCTGACCCTTGCAACAAAGCTAAACCAATCACTAACATCTGGAAGGCTGAGAACCACTAGAGGCAGTCCCAGCAGAGAAGGGGAGAGCACAGGCTCAACTGTTGCATTAGAAGTTACTCCAACAGTAAACTCACATCAGGTTAAAGTAAGGATTCACCTTTATTTTAAATCCACAGACTGGCTCAAAGCACTGTTCTGTTAGAACTAAAATCATGTTCAAAACTTGCATTTTCTAGTGGTAGAGATGGGTGGAACAGACTTGTTCCTCTCCTCTAAGTCATAGAATAGAACCTGCCTCCTGTAAGTCAAGATGTATACTTCAATATTTTCCCACTGCCTTCTGCAAGTGTTGCACAAAATACCTGCAACACTTAAAGCATTCCTAATTTTAAAATTATTTTATAACAAAAATTGGAATACAAACAACTTTTGAGGGTTTTTAATCTTATTATTTGACTGCTTCATGTTTTTGTCACTCATTTCTAGCAAACTTCTGTTTGTCATAGGGCAGCTCAGTGCTTGAGCTAATCATACTATGAGATCAATTACAATGTTGCTTACTGCTTTCCACAGTTAATTTTGCAGACATTACAAATTTAGATGGGGAAAAAAAATTAATTAATCTGACAATATAAATTTGGGAAGACGACTGTGACAACAGTGGGGTAACTGAACTACTTAATTTAATGACAGGACCTGGACTCATGAAGGTCCTGAAAAGATTTCAAGAATGTTTAGCATCATTTTTAGTATGAATCTGAATATGCATACAGCCAAAAACACATGCAAAAGTAAACTTAGATCCCTGATGTAAGACACGCACTTAAAAACATTTCTGTGATCTCTTCTGGAAGACATAAGAATACTTCCTGCAGACCCTGCCTCTGCTACAGACTGAATCAATTCAGAACCAGTACAAATTATTTAGGCAACCCAGGGATATGCAGCAGTTAGCAAACTAGTCCTCACCTGATCACATCACCCAGGCGTACTCTCAGGTTGTTGCGAACAACCCTATTCATGCGAA